GTCGTATGCTATGTGATGTTCGATTGTGATAAAGAAGTACACAGACACGCAAGGTACAGCTCTTGGTCAGTAAGCCAGTACACAGAGATCAGAACTTTCACGGTGTTCGCCACTGTCAAAGGACTAATGAATTTCCAGGAATTTACAGTTTCTTCCTGGTCGCGACCCAGCTGGCGAACCAAATGTTAGGCGGATATGGATTCTTTCCGATCATGCGCGGTGGGACGAAGCAGCATGAGTCGCATCTTCTTGGACGCGCCATTGTCTATAAGTGACGCTTGAAGAATTCCCGCCGATGGGCGAGAACAACTGGTGTATCTAAGGTATCCCCAGATCAAGGGCTCACCACACACGAAAATTGAAGGAGCCGTAACTGCTACGTCACGCTGTTATAAATTGTTTTTGCGCCACAATGATCGCATATAATAGCTAATAGCTCTGTCTGTATATAGTTCGCTTTGTACGTATCAGCCAAACCGTTATTAATAAGGGGCGATATAATTTGCGCATTTTAGTTTCATCAACTATGCTGAAAACTGGTGTTCATGTTAAAGCAGTAACATTTAACTCTGACTGCTGATAAGGTCTGTTCTGCTACGATTTATTGCTTTTTTTTCCAACCTTAATGTTTCCTTTGCTACTTAATAAGAAAACGTCACTTTCCTACGCAACCGTAAACGAAAAGGCTAAAGATTAAATTCCTATGGCTGACTGAGAGTGAGAACCTCTTCTGGGAACAACAGATATCAATGGAACAGTTGGCAAAGTACGGCGAAAGGTTTTGGTTATTCGGCAGACTGAAGAAGTTATGGGTTGGTTCAAAAGAAGTGAGAAAAGACTTCCCAAATCTTGCATTCGACCTTTCTTCTTCTACGCTGCACTGGTCACTGCTGCAGTCTCTGGAAAAAACAACTGGCTCGCATTCGGAAGCTTCTGAACTACATGGCCGACTAAGTACCTACGGCGGGAACGTGTTTGGACCCATCATAATTAGATATGTGATAAAGACAACAGGTGTTCCGAGCAATTCTATCCAACTCACCCGTCTTACCAGTGTTTTCAACAATGCCTTTCGAAGCGACAAACACAACATCCGTTTACGTTCCCTGCAGGTGCCAGATTAATGCTTACCGAAGGCCTGTTGCTCCATTTGCTGTTCGATGTTCGACCGACCCCAAGAATGAAGAACAAGTTATTTTGAACCGTGATCTCGTCAATCCAATAGGGATCTGCTTTTTCTCGCCAGTTTTGCTGTATTTGTTCATTTATAATATTCAGGTTATGGCAACTCACTGTGTGCCATAGAGTTCAGTTACGTAAATTTGACTGACTGACTGACTATGAATACTGAAATCTACTGGCATGTTCGGCAAACGTAGTCGTTTATCCATGAGAGAGTAAGTCATAACGAAGGAAGAAAAAATTATGCCCAAAGTCACCTCAATTTTATGCATCACGACCCGTCCTCCGCGCTTATTTTGATACTTGATGAACTTTTTGGCGTGCTCTCTTTCATCATCGCTGGACTTCATAAAAAACTTGACAAAGCCTGGCAGCGCCACGTCATCACGGTCGAAATAAGTTGCCTACAAGAAAAAATCATGCTAATTTCATGCTATGCTAATTACATTTATTTGCTAACAAGCACCCTTACCATTGCCAGATACACGTAACTAGCATGAAGTTCCAAATTAATCTGCCTGTTGATACCGGCCTCTGATTCGAGATGAAAATTCTGACGGATAACCGAAACGTTTCCTTCTGCTTGAACGCTCATCTTGCTCCCTAAAAAAGGCTAAATTAATTAATTAATAAAAGTAAAACAAAACATACGACAGTCTTCATTTAACAAGTAACTTTAGTCTGCAAGCAATAATCAGACATCAACATATTCGAGAAAGTTTCATCAACTGCTAAGTCAAAAAGCATTACTGCATTTTGATTTGCGAAACGATGAAATACCTGGAATACGTACCTAAACAGCCAGTAGTCAAAAAGTGCTAATTTTAAGGACTAAGCATGAGTATTTTCTGGCATCCGTCGAATATGGAGTCATTGTCATTCTGCCAACAACCAGTAGCCCAGAGCGAAAACCAGCAGTTAACCTGATGATCAACCGGATGTGCTCCAAGCACTCAGAGGTTGGCGCAAACGCCATCACTTCATTGCAGTTACAGACAAAACGTGATCAAGATGTTCTGGAGTAGCTACCACAGCAGTTTTCCAATTCCACATGTACACGTAACATTTCAGTTTCTAATACCAGAATTACGTGCCCTTGTTCGGTGCAGAGGTACGGTCCTGCATCCGACGCATTTCACGTGGCCAAATGCCATGGAGTCGGATCGTACTTAAAGAGTCCCCTTAGGCGTCTAGTTGTAAGGGGAACTGCCCTTATGCTGAATAAACCGCGTTCAGAAACTGCGTGAGAAATTCAGAAATTCACAACCGTTGAACGCATTTTTTTACTAGCCAACAGAATTGTTTCCACATCTTTTTTTAGATCTCGTGCATTAAGCATCCGCTGAACAACGAGACTTTCAGCCAGACTAAGATACTGCATAATCTGTTCTAGTATGTATGGAGGTCAGTAACCCCAGCTATCCATGCACGACACCACCAAAATGATATAAAGGGGTCAATGATCTAGCGTTGCACTCACCCGGTCAAGGAGAACAACTAAACATGTAGCGCATACGACATCACCGCGCATCGGATGGCGTCCAAATTCATTTCTCAGCCATTCACTTTCATAGCCTAGTATGGTGGTAGGGGATGCTTTCTGAGAGAAGCATATCCGGTGCTGCTGCGGAATGCTGCGCATTCAAACGAATCGGCCTACCTCCTGGAAGTGAGAACAGAACTTTCTGGTGGATACAAGAGGTTTGCCTGGCAGTCAAAAAGAAGACTGCGTTCAAGAATAGCTTGCAAACAAAGAGCCTTCAACACGCATACGATACGTAGAAGCGCGGAAGACGGCAGCGAAAGAAGTGGCGACAGAAAGCTGATTGCTGGAAGTTCGGTGAGGTACTGGAGTCAAATTTTACAGAGGCCAAACAAAGTATTCTGGCAGACGATTCGCCTACTCCGAGATGAAAAGAAGGGCAGTCTCAGAGCCTTTAAGGACAGATCTAGACACCCTCCTACCAAGGATGATGACATTCT